GCTCAAAAATCATTGCAGAGAATTTCCAAGCACTTGAATTGAAGCACAACCAAAGTATGAACTTGGTACATTTTTGCAGTTATTTCTAAAATAAGTTAATTTACATAAATCATCTCAAAATAACACAATGGGATTCAACTTCATTTTAGACATTTGGAAAGCAGTGTCATACTTTATTTAAAGTAAACCCATGTAAAAACAAAGTTTAAATGAAAATGGTACCTGAAAAATAAATTATTTGATATAAAACAAATCAATAACTTAAAAACACACTAAATATACAAAATGTGTAACCATATACTGTACAGTATGGAAAGCAATTGATAAAACCTTCTGTCCCACAAACAGATTAATTTATAAACAAAAGGTTACATAAGTTAAAGGAAAGGAAATCAATAAAAATACTAGAAGTACAGTATTATTCAAATTACTCATCAAATAAAGGTTTATCCCAACTTATGTTTCAAATGTCTCAAGTCATTTTCTTCTCAATGACCAAGTGAAAAAGTTCAGCCATACCACTAAAAACTTGCTCAAAAATGTTTAGAAATAAGGAACAACAGTAGGAGAATATTGAGATTCTAAAATGTGAACACAAAAGCAATTTTCCAAGGTTTCAGGTGGCAGTTCTACCAGTACTGTTTTCCCATCATTAGCAACAAAACAGAATTTCAGTTCTGAAAACTCCACTCAACAGAAAAATATTTCTAAACCTTTGTTGTTGTTTCATTGAGAGTGATCTAGAAGGAATCTCCAGAGCTGAATGTCAAACCCACCCATGGGGTGGTGAGTTATGCTTTAGAGATCATAAAGACTTGGACTGGTTTTGAATCATGCAGGATGAGAAAGCAACACTTTGAGTTTGGTTTTGTTGGACTACATGAGACTACTACAAACAGCAACCACTGAAATGACGCCGTACCTGATCAACCTACGAGCGGACGCTCAGAAATTACCGGTGATTTTCAATCCACTGGTTGTCATGGAGGCACCGCCTCTTCCAAGCGAGAGGGAGGGAATTGAGACCCTTTTTATGAACTCCACATTTTTCTTTTTTTTATATTAGTAAGGAGAAACCCAGTAATAATAAATATAATAATCAGAGAAAATAACCACTGTCCTCTTGAGCTCTGGATTTATCCATTCTACTGTGCTGAGCAGTCAACCTTGAGAAGTGCAGAGCTACATTAGAGGAACTTGCCGAAGGCACAAAAAGACTCTCCTGCTTCCAAATAGAGATTAAAATACCTCAGGTGACAAATTCATCTCTTGGAAAATAAAAACAAAATGAGAAAAAGCCAAAACACAAGTGCAGCTCCACTCAGAGAGCTCAAGGGGTTGGTGTTTCTTTATGCTAGAGGTGAATTTGGTCCCTTCCCTCTAAAGCTATTTGTAGATGCCTAAACATAGAAATATAACAATAAGGTGCTTCATCGACAGAGTTACAAAGGACACATTTCTTCATTATGGAAATAAAAAATGTGGTGACCTTCTGACAGAGGCAGCCTCCAGACAAACTGCTCCATGTTTATGTGACTGAACCAGGCTACCAGCACTCACAAGAGCTGTGTGTTAAAAACCTCCCACAAACTCTAACCTTCTGCAGGCAGAGCTATCAGAGGAGGCTACTTTGAATAAACGGTTTATCATATGACCTGTATATTGTGTTAGAAAAGTAACCATGGGGACATTCTCCAAGTTTGTTTTTTTAAAGCACATATGTAATGATAAACTATCCAAAAAGGAATTTGAATTATTGCCGTTTAAAATGCACTGAAAAAAAAAATCTCTTCTGAAGTATTTGAAGAATTTCTACTTTATTGACCTTACCCAGAACATTAAAGCAACGTGGAATTGTAACAAATGTTGAAGGACCTTAAGGACTATTCATTTTCCAAACTCAGCCTTAAAATAATGGATCACCTTCACAGTTAGTTCATCATTTTGGTTTTGACTGCTGGATATTCTTTCTATAAATTATACCAAGTTTTTAAAAAACTTTTTTTAAAAAGATTTTTAACTGCTTTGTATAAATAACATTACTGCAATGTTCAATACCCCTATAAAAATAGGTGTGCTCTGCATGCAAACACCCTTTGGTCATCTGGACAAGGGCAAGTGACCACACACTGACCAACCAGTGTTCCCTGCGGTGACAATTTATCCTGCTCCAGTGACTTGTCTCTGGATTTTCCATGGTTTTCATACTCACATGATACAGATGTACAAAAACGTATCCAAGCAAAAGGAAGGAAAAGCTGTGAGGCCACACACACCACTGTGGTGATGTGACTTCTCCCCTAACCCTAAGAGCTGGATCCTGAAGCCTTTCCCGGTCCCAGAGCTAGAACAGATGCAGGGACTGGCAGAGGAAGGCTCAGGAGGTAACAGTAACTCCACTGGCCAGTCTCTGACAGGAGAGTGGAGCAGCTCAAGTAAACCAAATTTATGATAATGCAGCTTGAAGAATAAAATAAAATAAATCCAACATTTCAGTGCACAGACATCATCTAACAGGGAATCACTGAAAACTGAACACACTGAGCTGCTTGGATTCTGCTCACATCTGAATTTCTGGTGTTGCCATCCCCTCACCTGAAGGATCTACATGTGCCTTTGCCAGCTCACATCAGGCCATACAGAGATTCCTCTTCCATGTTTATGTGTGACTTCCCTATGTGCTAATGGTTAACAGGAGGTTCACAGGTGATGAGGCTCATGGCCAGCATTCTGCACAGGGTGAATTCCATTCATGTGGACATCTGGAAAGCAAATGCAGTGACTCCCCTCAGCATCTATACATAAGACCCTGTGACAGCAGCATGAACAACTGTGTTTTCAGCAGGAACTACACCTGGTCGTTCAGAACCTACACTGGGGGCTGTCCCAAGAGACTCAACCTACTCTAAAGGACCCAAAACCACTCCCATCTCAGCTGTTCCTGTAGCACATCTCACAGTACAGACGAAAAAATTCAGGTCTCCAATATCTGATTATCACATCCTAGTCCAGCAACTCTTACCTCAATGAGATCACTGAATCTCATGAGCAATGTGAGACCTCTGCTTTGAGACAGCCTTCAGATCTACAAAGATCCTGTAAGCACTTACTGATGGAAGCATCACCTGACAGAAACACCCAGCTTCCATCAAATGGATGGATGAAAAAGCAGAGCACTTTTTGAGAATTAAGAGGCCAAAACCACTCTTGAAACAGGTCTGTCCAAGTGAGAGCTTCAAAGCAATGTGAGGAGGAAACCAGCTGCTCCTACCTTTTGGGCAGAAAAACTCCTGGCAGATGTCTTGTTAGAATTTAGTTTCCACCCCCAGAAGTTTCCTTTTGGTCTTTACCAGTAGGATGCACAAGCATTTTGGTTTAGGACCAAAAGCATCAAGAACATATACACAATTTTTACTGGACTTCAGCTATTTATGCCAAGATTTTACTGACTGTTAGAATAGCACAGATCATACACTACTTCTGCTATCAGCTCTGGATATTAGCAGGAGTTTTTCCTCTTTTCCTGACTCGAGCAGCAGTGCTTTGCTCATACCAATTGTCTGAAAATTATTATCAGAGCAACTATCAAAGAAAGCTGGAATCAGACCTTTCCTAAAAGAGATTGTTGTAGTAGCAGTACAAAACCATATCCTGCATTTCCTTCTCACTTAGCAAAGAATGAGGGATGGAAAAATAGGGAAGCAGTGGAAAGAGAAAGGAACAGTGATGCCAAAAAGCATCCAAGAGAAGAGGGTTTTTCAGAAGTGGCAGCACAGCAATGTGCTGCTGCCATGGCCAGTGTGCTTGGAACCACTACTGATACAGAGTCACGTTTAGGGGTCACTCGCTGGAAGTCTGAACTCCCGCTAAATATTGTGATAAACAGCAACTCCCATTTTAGTTTAGCAGCAAATTCATCTTAAATGGAATAAAGTAAGAGAGAGTGACAGGACCTGGGAATGACTACAGCCCACTCCTGTGGAACAGGACAGTGCAGGGTTCAACAATGACGGGACATGTAAGAGAACTTCTCTGTGCTACACAGCTTGAACTTGGGAGAACACCCAGAACGCTTCCCAAGCTCTCCTCGCACGCAGAAAGGAAATAATCATAGACGTGATAAATGGATGGTGATGAACTGGTGGAAGGAAACCTCTGACAGCCAAGAGCACCTTTAGGGGGTGGGAGTGGGCTGGCTGCTGTGTCACAGCCACCATTCCACAGAGCACTGAGCGTCTCAAGAGATGGGGAGGGAACAGACTGGCAGGAGAGGCAAGGTTGGATGCTTTAACAGGAAAAATCCCACCTGCATTCACTGCACATGAGCTCAAATCCAGCAGACGGCTGCTCGCTGGGTCAATGCCTATCTGTAGGGTTTAGATATGTCCTGGGCAGGTCCAGGAACATCAGCAGCTCCCACAGGTCCTCCCTGGAGATGGGCACCAGCTCGTACACATGTGGAGGCTGAGGGAGCCCTCAGGCTGTGCAGATCCCATGGCAGGGAGAGGAAAAGGAGAGGAAAAACGGCAGCAAGCACAAGGCAAGGTCAGCTGGGGATGGAGTGAGACGAGCAGGCAGCATGGACTGGCTTCTCGAGTTTGAAATGAACTCTGGGGCTGGTAGAGATTCAGGCAACACAAGGAGACACTGCATTAAACTGCCACAGACCTCATTTCCACACCTGCCCTACCTACATAAACACCAGAGCCAAGTCTCTAGCTGTGCACAGCAGCTCACACACCTGTACAGGCAGGGTCAGCCTTCCCAGTTTCCTACCCAAGCACACCTGAGGGTTACATCAGTCTGTGACACTCATTTCTATGTGACAGATTTATTGTGGTGCTTGTTTCAAAATTCTTTTTCTTCTACTCATCTGTCAAAGCAGCAAATTAAAATTCTCTTAAAGCGGAGCTACAGTTCCTTAAACAGCACTCTGAAAGCTGGACACTTTGTGCAATACTTAGCAAAAAAAAGAACAGAAAATAAAAAACAAAACAAAATTTGAGCAAAACAAAATCAAATTTAATGTTCTTAAATGCAAAAGTAAAAACAAACAAAAAACACAAAAAAGCAAAAGAAAATTAACAGAAACAGAACAACTCAAAGTTTCAAGGCAGTCTGCAGAAAACCTGGGGGATTAATCTTTAAATCTACAAATCAAAGGGGTTTTTTGGTTAATATCTAACTTGCAAGTTGTAAGTACTTTTCTGCTGAGTGTTCAGTAAGTAAAGCTAGTTGTCAAAACAAAATCCTATTAAAATAGAAAAACTAGCACTCATTAGAAGGGATGCGAGAAATACAATGCTCAAATGTTTATAACTGGTTTTTCTTTACAAAATAGAACTGCCAAAGGAATTCCAACTACAATGATCTTGGAAAATGAATAAGTATCTTGCTGCATTATAATGTACCAGTAAGTAGTGCACCATGCATTAAATATTTGGACAGAAGAGATTCAGTCTGATAAAGTAGCAACATATATTCACACTCGTTTTTTTGGAGTTTCATTTTGACTCTGAAATCTTCCCGGAGTTTCTTTGAAACTCTTTGGTCCATTCCTCTCAAAGTGGGTTTTAAAAGTCACGTTTCTAAAACCTGTGAATTGGACAGCTTGGCCACTGCTCAGTGTGCAACTTACCTCCTCAATGGTGTTAAAGTTAGGCTGGCATGCTACTACTTACAAGACCTTGACTTTAAAAAAGCCTGATCCTCAACTAGACACAGAGTAATGAATATTAATTTATCAAACAATTTACTGTCAACTAAAACATTAGTATTTCTCAACTTTTCTTCCATACTACTAAAACTGAGGGGGAACAAAAGGACAGGGGGATGGGTATGAAGAACAACATAAAACCAAAGAAAATCAATTAATTCAGCCTGATATTTTTCAGAAAATTCCAGTTTTTGCAGACAACATTCAATGAAACAAATGTTAGTCTCATAAGTGAAAGCATGCTTCAATTTTACCACCATCCAGAGGGTCTAGTTAATGCAATCTACTTAAGATTTCAGGGGATTTTTAACATGTTTTAAATGAAATAACTTAAAGGAACTTAAAATTGGTCTAACATTGTGGGATTTCAAACATTTGAACATGTCAGTTGCATCCCAGAATATAAAACCTTTTCACTTCTCATTTAGACTAAGACAAACACTTGTGAAAATTGGCGCAAAATGAGTTTTACACTAACAAAAATGTTTCAACTTCTGTCACTCCATTATCTATTCCATACAAAAAGCACGAGCAAGTTATTTGTGGGACTTGTTGGTTTTGAAGGAAACCTGTAAGATTTTGTCCCCCAGGCGGTAGCCATTAAGACTTGCTATGGCCATTGCAGCTTCTTCATAGTTTGTCATGGTCACAAAACCAAAACCTTTGCACTTGTTGGTGTTGAAATCTCGAATAACTTTCACATTGGTAACCGCACCAAAGGGGCCAAACATCTGCCAGAGGATTCCCTCATCAGCATCTTGACCAAGGTTGTAGATGAAGATACACCAGCCAGAAGATGCGTTTCCTGGAACATTTACACCAGAAAGCCCACTCATGTGATCTACACCCATAGGAGAGAACCTAGCAAATAAAAAGCACAATATTTCATGTTCAATTAAGCAAATTAACTTGAATGGGAAGCAACTGAGAATGAATATTTTATACATGGCACATCAAAACCGCCACATAAATGTTTCCCCATTCAAATTGACAATCAATTGACAGCTGCCAGAAAAAAAAAAGTTAAGTATTCCAACTGCTTTATCAACAGGGAACTATCCTTAGAAATAGGCAAGGAACAGGCAAGGCTAGATTACGTGATCACCTTCCCAGGGGACCTGGATGGCTGTCTGAACTCAGCCAGGCTGCTCAGAGTGTCCAGGGCATTGCTGCAGAACTGCTTCAGTTCGGGGGCACAGGCAGCACCTCCCCAGAGCCCCAGACACCCTCAGGCATCTCCCACTTCTTTCACAGAAGGAGATTTTTTTTCACCCCATACTCCTTTTCTTGCCTCTAAAAGAACACGTTTGGAAACTTTAAGTCAAACAGTTTCTTTGGGTTTGCTGGGGCAGGGGATGAGTGTTCTTAGGAGTAGAGATTGTATGTATTAATTTCTTCTTTTGTGAAGCAGAACAAAACCTACTCCCTTTCCACCCAAAGGCAGCAGGTGCAGGCAAACACTCACAACATGAGCAGGCTCGGTGCAGTTTTATTATTCCAGTGTGTATGGATGGTTTTAATAATTTTTCCAGGAAAACTCAGATTTGACTTTACTGGATTTTTAAAATCACCTACCCGTTCTTCCTGAATCCTGCCTCCTTCACAATACCTCAGCAGGATTCATGCATAACAAAAAGCAAAAATCTTCTCCTTTTTATGTCTTGTTTTGTATTAATTTCTTTTCCCTATAACCCACATTTTTATTTCCCTTTACTCTATTTCTGGCCTACACTCCAGAAAATCAAAGCTTTTGAATATTTCAGTGCAATATTAGGGTTGCACAGCTAAGCACTCAAAGGCCAGGAAATGTGAAAGTTAAGGTCAAAAACTCACTTTGAACCCTTGTGCTTATTTATTATTTAAAAATATGAGGTCATGTGATCATAGAAATATAATGATACTATACCAGGGGTTCCCAAATTGAGGTGTACCACTGGTGATTTGCAAACCCCTTAAAAGCGGTACACGAGCTGCTCTCTGCCAAGAGCAGGGCGGTGGCAGATCCTGATTCTCTGCTGACCTGGAGGAAACAGGGAAGGGATGTCTGGGCAGTGAATGCTGCAGTAAGTGCCAAATGCTTCCCCTCTGACTCTTTCTTGCCCTGCATCAAGGAGCTGCTGCTGCCCTTCTTGAGGAGGGAGGGCTCGAGGAGTACAGGGAGGGAGGGGAGTGCACACTCACACACACACTGTGCACTCACACACGAGAACCACTCACTGCCCATCTCCCCCAGGCTCTCTGGTGCTCAGAGCTCCCTGCCTTGGACACCTGAGCTCCTGGACTCTCCTGTCCCCAGAGCAAGTGACACTCCATCCCTCCCTCGCTGCTGCTCTGCAGCCCAGGGGCTCCCGGAGCACAGTGGGACACTCCTGAGCTGCAGCAACTCACTGACAGCCAGCCCCAAGAAAAAACAAGTTTGGGAAGCCTTGTACTACAGCCAAACTGAAAAAGCAGTTAGAAGTACCACAAGGTGAATGAGACATACCAACCCGTATGATCTGATGAAGAGGTGACACCTCTGGTATGTCTTTTGGCTTTGTATATAAATATTCCTGTGCTTGCATGCTTGATTCTTGTTCTTACTTACTTGTTCTGACAGACACCTTCAGTTCTGTAGCTTCTTTCCAAGTGAGTAATAATCTGGTAGGATGAATTTATCTTAATATCTGTCAAGTTTCCATCTCAACAGATCACCAGTCCTGAATCCCTTCTCAAACCACTGAGCTCAGAATTGCCTGACGTTGGTTCCAGCAGTCAGTATAGCTCTGCCCTGCCTGCTCCAAAGGCTCAGGCTCTGCCCAGGAGCCCAGTAACACCACATCAAGGACTGCAATCACTTGTAGGAGAGCAACTGGTGTTAAATGCAAGAAAACAACAAATCTAAATGCTTGTAACAGACAATTTAAAATAGCAAGTGTGTCTGCTTTTTGCATACACTTATCTTCAAACAGATTGTCCTCTCTTCCTGCCCTGACTCACAAAAATGTTACAGGTTTATTAAAATACTCAAACCAAACAAAACAGGGTAAAACCAAACAAGTGCCCTAAAATATTAGAAAAGTAATTAAAAAAAAAAAAAAACAAAACCAAAAACCCTACAGTAAATACTATTCAGCTAATCTGATGAATGTCTGTTCTCACTCTGCACAAGAGGAACCCCAGATCTCTCACTCAGCTCAGGGTAACAGCCTGCATGAGCAGGGCCGGAGCAGCTGACACACAGCTCTCTGTCCTACCAGGACAGATTTTTGTGGCCATGCCAATTTAAGATGACCTTTAGAAAGTTACACTTATTAAGGATGTTTAAAAGACCGTCCTACTACAGCAAACACAAATGCCAACAGAGATTCAGGATGTTTCAGAGAAAGTGGTTTTAAAATTCCTTTAATATTGTAATTTGAACTATTTCAGTCTTAGCACACTTACAGCTGGTGTCCTCATTTCTGTTGAAATTATTTTTATACTGTCTCCTCCACATTGCTTTTCAGCCCTCCCAAAGAGTCTGTAGCCAGTGTTATTTGTGGATGGTTCTTTCAAGCCATGCTAACCTAATACACCAATATCTTGGGGCATTAGGTATCAACAACAGTGTATTTTCCATCATAACTCTTTTTTACTTTATAAGCTTCTTCTATAAATGACCTTTTGCTTCCTCTGCAATTAACAGACTGCTTCCTTTAACAGATCCTGAGATTTAACTCACTGGAGGATGTAATCTCAGAAATTACATTCCTGAATGAAAGCAGTTTCTTTTTAGGTCTATGAAAGTCCTATAAATTTTTTTCATAGAACCACAGAAACTCCTGAGCTGGAAGGGACCCTCAGGTACCATCAGTGCAGCCCCTGTCCCTGCCCAGCCACCCCAACAAGCCCACCCTGAGCACCCCTGGCAGCGCTGTCCAAACGCTCCTGGAGCTCTGGCAGCCTTGGGGCCGGGACCACTCCCTGGGCAATGCTGGGGTAAGAACTTTTCCCTAATATCCAACCTAAACCTCCCCTAACATAGCTTTGTGCTGGTTTTGCTGAACTCTTTTGCCTGCACTCTGAGGACAGTTCCATACAGCACCACAGGAGGGATGCCAATAAGCAGGAACATCAGTTTTAATCCCAGCTTGTGTTGCCATTGCACTTGAGCTTGGCAGCTTTTTATTTTTTAATAGTTCCACAAAGAGCAGGAGCTCAGCTACACTGACAATGTCCTTCTGACAAGCAACTTCTTCTGCTGTCTTTCTTACAGACAGAAAAGATCTGCTGTGGACAACACAAATCTTGTTGAGAACTCAGTGACACGAGCCCTAAGCCTGAAAAAATCAGGGTATTGGGTCAAACAACCACGTAAGGAAGAACAGAAGCAACTGGAGTTTTACTCCCATATTGTTCCAGAATTTTGATGAAATACTACTCTGGGTGAAATGGTTTCTACTCACTAAATGAAATGGTTTCTACTCACCTTGCACCCAAATTACAAATTGGTCTAAAAACTGAAAATGTAAACCATTTCACTGGAGTGAAACCAAGCAGGCGTACAGGAGCTGTCTGAGCAACTGTATCACTGACAGGATTAAACAGCCTTCTTGCATTTCCCCTTGGATCAAAGAACTATCAGAAATGGCTCCCCTTCAGGCATTCAGGGCAGAACTCATGGGCTGATACTGGGAGAGTTATGCCCATTACAGGAACTGGCTCCAACCCTGAGTAAGTCTGAAAGCTTGGCATTTGCCAACGGAACTGGCAATAACTGAGGTTTGAAATAATGTTGCTCTAGTATAAAGCCCTGGTGAGCTGAAAAAGCACAGGACTTACAGGGACTTACAGCCTCCTCATGCTTCAGGAGCTAAACCCCTCCATTTCATCACAGTTCAGCACCTGGAGATCTGCTATTTTCTTTAAGTAAACAAATCTTACACTCTAAAGAAATCCCTGCCCCAGATGTTTTATCTGTCCTCCAGACACAACCCCATGCTGTGGCATCATTCCCTCTGGATGGAAGCAGAGAGCCTGGGTCTTTGAATTAGTCCAGGAATCCAGTGGGACACAGCACTAAGACCAGTTCCTGATGTGAGCCACGAACACCACAGGAACTCAAAAGGATTAAAAGAACATTAAACAAAGGGTTGGAGAAATATCTGTAGGAAATTAATAATTACAAATTAGATACTAAAGGCTTAATCCTGGATTTACAAGGATTCTGATAAAACGAGATGAAATGTAATCAAAATATCAGGTTACGTATTCAACCTCTGTGGAGCAGAGATCACAACTTTAATTTATACAGACTGCAGGCTCTGTGGAAGCTGCTTATCCATTCATCATGTCTTGATCACTACCAAAACAAACAAGACTCAGCCCAAACTCAGGTTCCTGAGCTTAACCACAGCATGAGTAATCACAACTCCTCCAGTTCAGCATCCTTCAAGGAAGACAGACTCACTAGAAGAACTTGCAGCTAACACTAAAAAATACGAAGGGTAGTGGGACAGACTTGATGATGTTGGAGGTCTTTTCCAACTTAGTAATTCCATGACCCCATGGTGTAAGCGTTGTGCATACGTGTACAGACATGCCTGCACGAGTGATTGAGGGAAGGAAGCTTTGTAGTAAGTGTTGGAGCTCTCACAAGTCTGTGACAAGGTACAGATGAAATGCTTGTGTCTGCAAGTCAACTGGGGGCTCTTGTGTCCAGTGTCTTCCTGAAAGCACAGCCTTACCTCAACTGCTCTACTCCCACCTCTGCCAGGCTGTGGGACCCCAAAATCTTCAGCTCTTTCCCCACCAGCAGGTCTGCCCCCGGGAGCAGCAGCCAGCCAACGTGTGCTGACAAACAAGCACTGGGCACAGACATCCAGCAGGACACAGCTCCCAGGGCAGCAGGAATGGAACAGAGACAGAACATTTTCTTCCTCTTAACCCCCACTATGACACCCCAAGCCTACAGAAACACTGTGTGAGTCTGCCCCATCCCTGAAAGTGTCCCAGGCCAGGTTGCAGAGCGCTTGGAACACCCTGAGATAGTGGAAGGTGTCCCTGCCCATGGCAGTGGAGGGACAAGATGAGCTTTAAGGTCCCTTCCAACCCAAACCAGTCTGTGGTTCTATGAAATCCACACAATTGACATTAATGCTGCTCTAAATAGTACATTAAGAGAATAATGAACAAACTGGTTATTAAAATTTAGTTTCACCAGCAACTCTTAATATAAATACATAAATAATTTTTGTTGTTCCTGAGTGATCATTACAGGATTGAATTAAAAGCATTTGGTCTCTTAATTATGGATGTGAATATTATTTGCACTCCTTATTCTGATGCATTTTGATCCTGGCATAAATTTTAGGGGGAAGAATGATGATGAAAATGTACAAGTAAATTAAGAACATTAAGAATGAAAAAGATTTTACTAGGATCCGGACACACTGAAGGCCTGGCTGAGACAAAGGGCAGATGTGTTAATTTTTTAATAATTCACCTAAATGCAAACAATGCAGAATTTCATTCCTCGGCGTGGCTCAGGAGGTTTGGTGTGGAGCCTGGGGGACTGCTTCAGGGAAAGGAGGAGCTGCCTGAGCTGACTTCCCTGGGCTACAGCTGAAGAGAACTGGAGAACAACCGAGGCTGGCAGGGACCTCTGGAGATCCTCCAATAAAGCCCCTGCTCGAAGCAAGGCACCTGGAGCAGGCTGCTCAGGCTCATCCTGTCACCAAAACTCACCAAAAACCGGTCAAATACAACTCCTTAACACCAATGCAGCATTCAGAAGGGCATTCATTACTCATGACAGGCCTGGTTGCACAGGGGACAACTCCACCTTGTGTGCACGTCATCTTCTATAAGCGTGTTGCTTATATACAGTCACCAGGTGCATATTTTGCTCATTACCGTAAAGCTCTCCCCAGTTTCCCAGGTTCAGTCCTTGTTTTGGCTGTAGCTGCATTCCTAAGCCAGATGCCTTCCACTTATCTTTCAACCATCCTTGCTGAGAAAGCAGATCCTGCGTACCCTGTTTCCTGCTAAAACTACACAGGCACAGTAGAAATTAGATAATCCCTTTTGGTATCAATTCTAGCCAGGTTTCAGGATCTCCAAGGACAGAAACATCACTGTCTCCTTGGGCAAACCGCTCAACCACTCTCAGTATAAAATCACAACTGACTACAAAGTACAGATTTTCTCTGGAGACCCATTACACAGAGCTGTGCTCAACATGCTGAGGTACAGCACTGTGGACAGGAGACAGCAACACTGGAACAGCAGCACAGCTAAAAGGTGGCTGAGATTTTAGTCCAACTTTACTGAGCTCATTAGATCCCTCACAGTAGAACATAAAAAAAGTGTAAATTCTCAACAAGGAACCACCACTCTCAGAAACATATATCATCTCAAAGCCTATTGCTTCTCTGCAAGACAGTCAATACACTGCATTTTCCAGAGTATCCTCCAACCATCAGCTTCCTCCACGAACACCCAAGGCACTTCCAATTCAAGCAATTCATATTCAAAGCAACCAAAGCAGTTTTCTGTGACAAAGCACAGTGTCTTCTATAGCCCTGGAAGCAGACAGGAAGCTGCAACTGCTCAATATTCTCATCAGTAAACTCTTGAGGCCTCGAGGGAAGGCAGAACCCTGCACAGGTTGCAATGCAGACAGGAATCCCACAGAACCTCCGTGTCAGAAATAAGGTTTTCCTTTCTTATTGTAACACCTCCCTGCTGGAACCAACCATTCAGAGCTTTAATTAAGTTGCCAAATTCTATCTGTGTTCAGATATATAAACCACAGAATGGGGATCTGTTGAGACAGACACCTACCAACACCCACCTGGAACCTGCTGCTGCTGTCCCCTCACTGTAACCCAGTAGTGGAAACAGACACCAGAGTGCAGGTACCTTTACATACTAACTTCAATATAAATTTTACAAATAAGATTTTTCTTTAATCACATTTTAATGCAACAGTTTCTTTACATAACACCGAGGACAGATGGTGCACTATGTATTCATTCACACATGCTGCAGTGAAGGTGTCACTGCCCAGCTGTGGGGGCACAGCTCCCCACACAACCACGGGAACAGGAGCACAGCCTTAAATGCATTTATTCTTCCTAACCTACCTGAATCTCTGTGCCTGGTGATGCACTGGCCCTCCAAACCGTCTAGCTGGTGAATGACACAGCTGCGACAACAGTGCCACATTTTTGTTCTGGTTAGGGTTGGCTGCAAACTTCACTGTAATGGGCTCGGAGGAACCTGGGGGTTTGTGACCATTGAAATTTGTAATTGCCTCTTCTGCTTCTGACCTTTTGTCAAACCGGATAAATGCGACCCCTCTGGACAAACCTTGTAACCAAACCAATAAAAAAAAAACAAACAAAAAAAAAATTGAAGTTCAGGATAAACTCAAAATAACTTTGAAAACAAAACCCAAAAAAAGTTCAGTATTTCTATGGTCACAGCTTTCAAGTTCTCTACATTTATATTTCTTCAGCAGCTGGAGGATAAATTACAAAATTAAGAAACCGAAGACAAATTAGCACACTCATTTCAGCTATAACAACCACAGTGACTAAACACTTAAAAAAATATGTGGTAGAATTCCATTATATTCATCACCAACTGACATTTCCATTCACAAAAAACTCCTCAACATTTTAAATTAAGTTTTAAAAAAATAAATAATTAACTTCAGATGGTTAAAAACAAAACCAAACCCGTTAGTTCCAATTACTTTATCACTAAAGAGCACCCACAAACACAGAATTTATACATTTTTGCAAATGTTTTCATTTTTCCATGCTAGAAACACACTCAAGTTCAGAGATGAGGGAACAAATGTCTGACTATAGTAAAGGACTTCTATCTTTTTTAATGGAGAGATTAGAATTTCACCTGCACCACATAGGCTATTTACAGCTGGCACATAGATTATTTTTATTCATAAAATCAATGAAGAATTAACTCTTGGTAGCTGTACCAAACCAATATCACAGCTGTTAAAATGTTGTGTATTTTCTTCCTAGTCTAATAGTTTTCAAAAGCCCCTGGATGCTGTCTCCTTCTGACTGAGGTACACGTTATGCCTTGTGAGCTCTCCTCTCCACCCCTTGCTTCTCATCTGTGAATTGACCTTAGGCTGAAAACACAGTTTATCACAGTGCAGCTAAAAGGGAACATTTGTTTAAATGGCACTCCAGTGGCCAGACCAAATGCAAACATTAGCTCTATTTCAGAAAGGGATGTATCAGATACTTTGTTTTCTTCACATCCACCCAGGACCACCTTCAAAGCCAGATACAGAAGTTAAGCTTATCATAAACCACAAAATCATAAACTGTTGTTGGTAACAGTTGAGGATCATTTTCTCTGTTTCACAGAAGTAAATGTAACACGTCAAGACCTGGGCCTGAAGCAAACAAGGTGTGATTGCACTTTGATAAACAACAACACATGGGCTCACCAGAGAGAACTGACAGCACTGTATGCTCAGGTACCACTGAGATCAGCCTCCCTGCAGGGCAAGGGTACGGCCCAGCATCACTGGGAACTCAGCAAGGCCTATCCTAGAGCTCAGCTTACTGTGACTCCTTCACTTTCATGCTGCTCATCCTAGTGCTTCTCAAAGCATTCATTTAAAACTTAAATATTTTAGAAAGTGTATTTTTAAACAGAATAGTTTTCAAAAGCTGGAGTACCAGCTCTCTGAGAAGGTACAGCTAAGTACAAATTCAAACGTGTCTTAAGTGGGAGCAGATCAAGATATGAAAGACAGGCTTAAAGCCAAGGCATAGCCACACTCCTGGTGGGACGGCAAGCCCAGGCTCTGTAGGCATTAACTGTGAGATGTAACAGAACCCACTCTTCAGCCAATGCATTATTAAGGCTATGGGAAAGCAGGTGCTGTGTTCTGAGCTGAATTACACAGCATCAGGCCTCAGCACACCCATGAAAACTATATTATTCTTGGGGAGATTTTATTTGTATGACTTCTATCATCTCATTTTACAGCCCTGTCAAATCCAGATGCTCTCCAGACCCCAGGGACTGCCAGAGAGGTATGACTAGTTTTGAGACTTGCATTTACTAAGTTTGCTGTGCTCCACAAGTCTTTTTCTTGCTTCTCATTACGGCTGTGTCCTACATAACCAGGGACAAGGCCATGCAGGTATCAGAGTTGGGCAAAACAAATAATATTCTCCAGTCAGGATGGGATTTTCCTCACTCAACCATGAAGTGTCTGACATGTCAGTCCCCAGATCTCACCAAGTCACCTCAGGTTTCTCTCAGCCTGCACTCAGACTGAGCCCACCAGGAGCTGCCAGTGGCCCACTCTGAACTACAGCAGATTCCTCACAGAGCAGGAAAGCTTCTTCTGAACTCATGTGTATAAATGCACATCCCAGTTACAAATGTTAAATGTGCAATTGCTAGAATTAGATTGTCTTCTATTCCAATACACTAGATGCATAATCAATGAAAAAGTGTATTTGTAAACAAAGCTCTCTCCAGATTAATACGTGACATATGGGCTACCAGTAAAACCACAGCACAGCTGGGTGACAGTATAAGCCAGACAGTTATACTGTCTGAAATAATGGGGTAAGAACTTTAAACTTCTGACACTAACAGTCAGAACTGCCATCACAAAGAAAACCTTAACTTTGGTCTCCCCTGAGCCAAGTGCCTAACTAGGTAACTTCACCCCTCTTTTTTTTTTTTTTTTTTTTTTTGGTTTTTGTTTTTTGATACACAAAATACATTTAGAACTCTCAGGGCAGTACTAAGTGTATGAAATTAATTCCTTTGCTTAGCAGTAACCACAGAAGCCTGTAAGACATCTCACATGGTTTAAAATATGAGAAAATTGAGTGAGTGAGTTCCAGGCTGGTACAAAAGACAAAACACATTTTTGTTTTGCTTTAAATCTGTAACTATGGCCTGGAATTGACCAGTGGATAAGAGCTGCATGTGTGTAAACTCAAGGTAAGGTCAGCACTCCAGGTTACACACATGGCCCAGAAACACAGTGCATTGCAGTGCCAGCAAGTGTCAGAGCAAGAAAGTAGATTTGGCAAATTAGCAGCTGATAAAAATGACAAAAATCCTATTTTAATATGGTCTTGGTTTGGGCTGTAAGCTGGAAAAGGCAGTGTGAGTCATTCTGTGTTTAAAAAAGAAATCACTGAACATGGATATCCTGTTAAAATTCTATCACTGGCTGACAGCAGATGTCATGATTAGCTTGTCCAAGTCTAATTTACTGAAGTTTAGGTACTGCCAGTCTCAGAAAACACCAAACACATGCTGTACATTCCAGTTTTCCACAGCCAAGGTCCCAGAACTCACCTGTGGTTTGATCCACAAGCACACGTGAGTTGATGATGCGCCCAAAACGGGAGAACATATCTTCTACATCCTTCTGTGTCATTGACCGGGGCAGGCCGCTGATATATAAATTAGCATCCTTGATAACTTCAGAGCTTGGGCGGGCATAGGAAACCTTTAAAAGAAATGAAAATACATGTTCAGAGTATTAACAGGGAAGATCCATTTATTGTCATGAGCCAATTTAATTAATTCCTCCATTACCAACACATGCATTTTTACTGCAGTTCAAAAAAATGGGACCAAGAGAGAATAGGGAAAAATCAACCAAACAGGAGAAAGGGCATGTCCCTACATAAGGCCATTCCTTTTGGGCTAACCCAAGAGATAACAACTATATTAGCATTGCTGTAAGGAGACAGCAACAGACCAACACCAATGCTCCCAGCAAACACTTTTGCCAACGAAGAATCCCAAGTTCTGACTCAGCCACTGGACCTGAGCTTACATCAGGAACTTGTCCTGCCAGTACATTTTTTAAAGCTTCATAAAAGGATGGCACAAGTAGAGTGCAGTTTTCTGTCCTAATTTCTGGTAGTGGAGAAAGCTGCATAGATCACCTCAGCAGGAGCAAATCCTACACATAGAGCACAGGCTGTTGTTTTGGATAAAGAAAGGAGTGCACGTGTACTAACAAGATTTACAAGAAATATTACGAAGCATCCAAGTTGTGCACGAGTTAAACGCCTGGCAACCATCTATAATGGTCCCTCTGCTGCTGTAAAAATGGTGGGAATATGAAGAAAGGGAACCTTCAAATACTAAGCTGTTTCAAAACACTTCACTACTCTCCTCCCAGATTCATGGGAGCACACAAACCTTACCATTAGAATGAGGTTTATTTCAATGCTGTTTTCACAGATGACTGAAGAGCTCCTACCTTGATAGTTTTTGACTGAAGTCTGAGGCCATTCAGCGTGTTTATTGCTCTTTCAGCATCTTTTGCAGTTACGTAGTTCACAAAGCCGTAGCCTAAGCTGTGTCCTGAAGGGAAGAACATTTTTTTAAAATTAATCCTAACGAAAGTATGTTATTGCTACTAAATTGAAAGGAAATGCAAACAAGAAGTGAACTTCACATACACAATCCACACAGCAAATATTTCAGTAAGCCAAGGAGGTTTCCAAGGCTGGCACACATCATGAGTAACTCAGAGGTCTTCTACTTCCACTCTGGACATCCCTCTGCCTTCACAGACAGCAGGCACTGCACAGAGCCCCGTTTAACAGTCAGAAATTTAGGGCTAAAACACAAACTCTGACCAGTCTTGCAAACTTCATGGGTGGGGAACAAAGGCAAAGACTTAACTAAGTTCATCAGTACAAAGTCTTGCGGATAGAGAGCAGAAAGTGAGAAAATGTCAATGGATGAACTGTAAGGTTTGAAATGAAGACCCTCATGATTTCTTTGGCTATTCCCACCTCCACCCCTGGGGACAAGAAGGAAGAAGATGTTTCCAATCCTCCATTAATACAGCTAACAAGCAGCCAGTTTTCCAAACACAGCATCATAGTGAAGAGTGAAAAATTCTCTTTAAGGCAGACAATTCATGTACTGTTACCTTATTTAAGTTTACTCTGAAAGGAATAATTTTATATTAATAATAAAAATCATTAAAATATTTAAAGAAAAGGATATTTATTTGGATACTTATGTGCTCTGCTTCTATCTCCAATCTCCACAATTGCTACTATCAATTATAACATTACATATTAAGATCATTTTGGGTTGCAATTTCCCAACCATTACAGGTTCTTAGTAGTGTAGGTTTAAAAATAACTAAAATGCTTTCAAGACTGTCTTAGAGCAATAAAAAAGCTGCAATTCAGCCCCAGACACACCTCTTTCAGCCAACTTCTCCTTGTCTCTGCCAGATCTGTGGGATTTTCTAAAGAAATTTGTAAGCATGCATAGGAAAATGTGCTATTTTCCTCTAACAATATACTACTTTTAAGTTATTACGTTCTATTGTTAGGCTTAAGGACATTAGAAGACAAAGCTAATTGTTATGGTAAGGAATTCTGTGGTGAAATAGCCCTTTTTAATCACACTGCTTGGCTCTGTAATGGCCTTAGCTGACACGGAAGTTTCCTTATGCTTTCCTGACATTTCAGAAGACCAAATACAGACACAGGAGTCCAATGATGATATCGTGGCACAAATGTCAGAGGAAATGAAGAAAAGGGCTGCAAGAGAACTGCAGATTAACTTCAGATACAGAAAAAAAGATGCCCAGTCTGCTGAGACATCAAGATTGCAAGTGTAAAATCCACAAGGGAATGGAAGGATGCCCCAAATAACCCTCAGTGTTTTCATGCCAACAGACTGACTGCAGAGCTGCACCAGCTCCTGGCACAGCCTCTGCCTTTGGCTGCTTCCTTGTGAAACCTAATCCAGCAGCAACTCAGCTGAACCCTGACAATGTCAGGGCCTGCTGTCTAATGCACCCTTTGTATAAACACTCACAGGTAATTTCTGCCGTCTGCTAAAACTCTTAGGGAAGCCAGATCCCCTGCGTTCAAGCCTTGCACAGAAACAACATCCTGTTCCCTGAGAGACCTGGTTAAACCAGCTCCAAACCAGCCTCTCGTGACACCAGACACGGAGCACAACTAACAGCAAACTGCTCTGTGCCAGCAAGTAGGATTTAACTCCATCCTCTGGAGACCTACAGACAACACCTGCAAAATTCTGACCAATGTTTCTAACATGTACCCACAGCATGGTTTTTGTGATTCCTTTATAACATTCCTTTTGTTTTGTTAGTCAAAGATGGTCAGTCATTGAGATCAAATGTGGTTGGTTCCCACCCACTTACCTACTGAGATTATTTACCTGTGATTAAGTAAATAAGTAACTGAACAATTAGAAAAATGTTGAGCACCTGAACCCTACCTTATTTCTCTTATTTTTCCTACCTTATTTCAGATAAAGAAAACAAAAGTAAGCTTAAGAGGGAAAAAAATACCAGGTGGACAGTTGGCAATGACTTTTGCAAGGATGGGAAGCATCCAACATCTCTCACAGGTCCAGTCCTGCTCTGAAGGCTCAGTGCAACAGCTGCTTCATAGATATTTTCAGTCTGTCCCAAAAGTCACATAAACATGAATATTCCAGCAAACTACCGAACAGAACCAGGTTCTAACAAAAACTATGGAAATGGGCCCTTAAAGACCAAGGAAATGTACCTCAAAACAAGACTAATCCTTCCAAGTGTGACCCACAGTGAGCCCTGCAGGACTCTCACTTCCTCCATGGATGCTGCACTGGGGAGGACTGGGGAACTATTTTCCTGACAGGTGAAGAGCAGGATTCCACTTATAAATTTATTAGGTTGTCTTCAGTACACTGAGCATCCTTCCCTTGCAACAAATTTCCAGAGAACACAGCAGGCATAGGATTGGTTTGAAAGGAACTTAGACACAATTTCATTCCAACTCCCTGCCATGGGCAGGGACACCTCCCACTGTCCCAGGTCACTCCAAGCCCTGTCCAGCCTGGCCTTGGGCACTGCCAGGGATCCAGGAGCAGCCACAGCTGCTCTGGGCACCCTGTGCCAGGGCCTGCCCACCCTCACAGGGAACAATTCCTGCCCAAGATCCCATCCAGCCCTGCCCTCTGGCAGTGGCAGCCATTCCCTGGGTCCTGTCCCTGCAGGCCTTGTCCCCAGTCCCTCTCCAGCTCTCCTGGAGCCCCTTCAGGCCCTGCAAGGGGCTCTGAGCTCTCCCTGGAGCCTTCTCTTGTCCAGGTGAGCACCCCCAGCTCTGCCAGCCTGGCTCCAGAGCAGAGGGGCTGCAGCCCTGGCAGCATCTCCGTGGCCTCCTGTGGTCTCACTCCAACAGGTCCATGTCTATCTTGTGTTGGGGTCTCCAGGGCTGAAGATGGGATCTCACCAGAGTGGAGCAGAGGGACAGAATCCCCCTCTCCCCTGCTGCCCACACTCCTTTGTTTCCTTCCGAAGCATCACACAAGTTATGTGTTTATGCACTGTTAGAGACCAGTGACAAGGAATTTTAAGTTACTTATATACAGGATAAAACCAGACCTAAGCTGCAACACCCACGGACACCCAGGAGTAAAAGGCACCACATGACTTGGGCCCAGTCCCTGGAATCAGAAACTGTGCCCTAACACACACACACACACGTGCCCACATTAAAAGCAGCCTGCCAGGCACTATGAAAGCACATTCTACAGCCTCCAGCCAACGCTCTCCTTTTCCAAACTCAGGTGTACGTATTCTGTGTCCACTTGCTCCTGTACAAGTCCTATCCTGGACCTTACACACGTTTCTCCTTCCAAGTGTCTGTCCCCAAAGTACCATCACACAGCGATGTGAATTATACTGTGAACAGTATAATTTTTTACTGTTTTTGTCTGGCCTTCTTTACCGTTTCTGTCAGAGCAAAATTCTGCATCTTTTTCACTTCCAGTTTTATACAAACTCCTCAGTGACTATTCTTTATCCAACAGTTTGAATGTCCTGGGAAGTGAGGGGGCAGGGACGTAATGGGGTTTACCCAAACAAACACTGACTAAAAAAAGAAGGCTCTGAAAGTGGCAGGATCACAGAAGTTCATTCTCATATTCCCACTAGGCATCTGACAGTAAGTTTGTACTGAACCCCAACATTACAGTCCTATTAGCTTTTACCTGACAATAGGTATGAAACTATCAATTACCTGTATTTCTCAACAATAATCTAGAATGCAGACCATCCCTTTTAATCTGTACTTACCACCTTTAAACTACAGTAGTATAACATGACCTTATAGCCCTTAAGTGCTAGAAAAACCCAATCCACGCAAAACTGACAGTATATGTTAACTTCTCTTGCCCTAAAATACCCAATATTTTGGGTATTTTAACAATGAGCCTCAGCCATCTCCTCCCACTCAGCGCCCGGTGTTCATCTCTACCCAGGCCGGGCCAACACACAACAGTCCTGTCACTGCAGGAGACATTTCCACCTCACAGATGCCTGTGCAGGAATACTCTTTGCTTCATCATTTTACTCCAAAACAGGACAATCTACCTATGTGCTAAGGATGACAGGAAATATAGAAGGAATTAGCATTTACACAATATTATGACTGCTGTCAAGTGTTTACCCCAGGCAAGGAGAGAAGTTTTTTTGCTTTCTCCTGATGTTCCCAGCCTGCTATAGAAACTTGCAGCACAAAAGAAACTGGTGCTGTAACAGTTCTCAAAATATTTTAGTGGATAGGAATTAAAAAATATTTTTAAAAGTTTGCATATACATAAATATAAATTTACTCAAGAGACAAAGCCAAAAAAGAGCAACAAGTAGGTCCTTATCTGCATGAATAATTAACAAAGTAACTACAAAACCTAGTTTTAAGCAAAATACTACACTCCTTCAGCAGAAAGAATCAAGTTTTGTTTCCATGATAAAAGGCCCTTTCAGGAGAGAGGGCACTGCTTTTCTTTCCGTGCATCACTTGGGTTTCTGTCCATGTCCCTGCTTCCTTTCCCAGCTCCCGAGACACACGGCTTCAGTCACCAGCTCCTTCCTCATTCCCAGCAGTGCTGACAACTCCAGCTTCACTGAGGAGTCTGATACACACCAGAGCACTTCACTGAGAGCAGCTAACTCAGATCCTCCCATCCTGTCCTCCACAAGAAACCCCAAAATCAAATCTGGCTCCTGTTATGTCAGTGCACCTCAGCATGACGGCAACTTAGTTTAGAACTTGTTTTCTGAAGTGGGAATCAGTTTTTGGAGGATGTGAGCTGGGTTTGAGTTTTTTGTTTGGCTTTCCAAACCATGCCATGAATGATAACCAGAGAGCCTAAACAGGTGCGAATGCATCAAGAAGTACCACAAAAATAACAGGCATCAGTAGAATTCAAAGCAGTGGCTACAGTTTCTGAGGATTAGAACAGATTAAAGTGCTCAGATGTGCCTTGTGTGGGCTTCTTTAGCACAGTTACACTGTTGTACAACCAGGGCTCCTCAAACA